CTCTTCCAGAATATTTACATTAAAATTTTGTGAGAAATAAATTTCTGCCCAGATGGATAAAATACACTAAAATGTTATTTAAATACAAACTGGAATCCAAATTTCTAATTTTGTTCATGTTGAATTTCTATAATAAAAAAAAAAACCACTGCTCATACCATATGGGGTTTTCTACTTACAAGATTGCTAAATTTATATTTAAATAAGGAACCTAAGTAAAGTTGTTAATGAAGACTCGCTGTTATGTAAAATTTCACCTTATACCTGGAAATTCAAAACACTCAGACTAAAAACAAATGAAGTAGATAACGATGAACATTTGAGGTGTACATAAAAAGAAGGCAAAAAGAGCTAAGCATTATTAAAACAAATGGAACTGAATATGAAGAAGAATAGGAATAAAGAAAAAGAACGAATAAAGTCATAACCTGGGGGGAAGGGATATCACGATATTTATTTATGAATGAGATAGCCTGAAATTTTCCCATCATCAAATTAACTATTTTCCTTACTGTATGAGAACTGATCTAACGCACTTAATGAAACAAGAAGTAAGGAACATTTTCAAAAATCCGAGCATCAACACATCAACAGCTTGGTTGTTCACATGTGTATTCAATCCCCAACACATTCCCCTATCCCATTCAAAGAAAACAGCAATTTGTGGTAGAACAGAAGATTCAGATCATGAAATATACTATTTTCTGCAATAACAAGTTTTCAAATTCAATTCTTATTGTATGCATGAAACAGGTCCGTCTCCCTAATTTATTAGAAGCAATTTCTCTTACACATAGAATTCTGTGGTTGTCTGCCTAAATTATTCAACTGAATATTTAAATATTGATACAAAATAAATCAGCATGTTATTTTCTTTTAAAGAAACAATTTAAATCCAATTACTCAGTATGGATATGGAATATACTTCCATATAATTTTATGTGTCTTGCCACCTCCTTTAGTTCCAAACTATCTCCCTTATGTGGAATTGATGCAGCCCTGCCAAACCTCAGGTCCGGAGGAGCAGCTGTTTTGGTGGGCTCTGCACCAAAGGCTCTGAAGGGAGAACATGGGAATCAAAAGACTTCGGTTAAATGCTACATACAGGCTTCTGAACTTAACAATAAACGTTATTCTCTCAGAGTACACAGACTGAAATTGTCACAGCCATTCAATGTGAATATGTTCTGTAACTGTGGAAAATCTCAGTACACTTTTATGGTAATAACAGATGTATGCCATCTGCCCAGGTTTATGGCCCAGAAGATGTTCAACTGCTACCGTCTTATTTCAAGGAAAGTTCCTCTTACAAACCTCTATGAGAAAACAATATTAAATAATAATATATATAGTAAATAATATATAGAGAGAAATACAGTGTTTTTATTACATTCTAAAAAACAAAAATATCTAAGTGTTGAGTCTGCAGTCTTTTTTTTTCTAGTTATTTATTTATTACTGAAATAAAAGCCATTTTATGTAATGGTGTTACTGGACTCTCCTATGGAGGCCCAGGATCAAATACAAACTCATCCAATGACATTAATTGGATGACTTAGGTCAGTCACTTTCTACCCTCCAATAGAAGGGTTATTGCAAAAAATTAGGGGACAGAATTCTATGTATAGCACCCTGAGCTCCTAGAGAAATGTTGAAATGTATAATAATACAACTAAATAAAAATGACAATACCTCTTTATACACAGGGGTATACTACATGAATTATTTCTTACTTTTTGGGGTCTTTTTTGGCACATTGACCAAATATGAATCTATTAAATAATGTTCATGTTTCTCCATTATATTGTTATCCTACGAATCCCCTATTAATCACAAACTTATAATGACATTTTAAGACCTTAATCATTTCAAGATGCCTCTCTAGTTTTTCATGTGTGATGGCTAAACACTGAAATGGTTTGCATAAATATGTACAAACCTAAGCTAAATAAATCTGAGCATTAAAACAGGAAAAATAGTACTGGAACTGCTTTAGATTTACTTTAAAAATCTAAAATAGGTTGCAGATGAATGTTAGCTAAAATCAAAAGAAGACTATATAATCTTCCAAACTCTTGCAAAAATGTGGCACATTTGTATCTTTCTCCTTATATGAAAAGATTATTGTTATTTATAAGATTCGACTATATCAAACTAAGTAATTTGAGAATATCACTTACTTTTTATAAATTAAGGCTTAATATTCCTTCAAATAACACAGCAATTATTGTATTATGACTTCTATACTGTAGGCTAAAAGGACATATTGTAACATAAATCTTAAACTTTTGATTAAACTGCCCAAATTCAAATCCTACCTTTTTGTGCACTCTGACATTTTTGCCTGGCATTTTCATTAATTTTGCAACATACATAAGTGTAACTGAAATGTTACCTGATCAATATTATGTCTCTTTCATGTAGCACTAGAGCACATTTCCCCAAAGACCACACAGCAATGCAGGAAATAAATGTGTAAAATATCAAATGTTAATGTTAACATAGCAACACTTAATGTATAACAACTAAAAAGGCTAAAACAATTCAAAATAGTCCAAAGTACCACAAATTATCCACAAACCTATTTACAGAGTAACATTTGTCTGCCAAACTAATTCACTAATTCATTTTAAAGTACCTCTTTTTACTTAAATCTTAGATATCCAATTATTTTTCAGCCCATTATAGTAATACGGCAGTGGAGGGAAAAGGTTGCATACATCCTCATCTGCCCTAAAGCATTACACTTTCCAACTTCCACAAGTACAGGAATGTGTGGCGAAGAGCTGAAGATAATTAAATCCAAATTGGAAGACATTTTGTTATTACACTAGACTATTGCAAAGACAATTCTTCTAATTTCTATGTGAGAATATTCATATATTAAATATACATAAAAGTATTTTGAATAATTGCATGTTAAAATTACATAGAAGTAATCCAAATTTTTAATTTAAACTTGAACAAAAAAAGCTAATAATTAAAAAATTCTATTAATTTTGTAAACTGAATGCTTAGTTATGATCAATATAGTAATTGGGAGAACAATACCTATTGGAGGAAAAATTCATTTGTTCTATAGTATTTAAATCCTAAACTTTGGAAGATGTTATCTGAACCAAATACTTCACAGTTGTTGAAAATTCCCATTAGAGGAAGTTAAGTAATAAAATCTCCCTTGAGTAGACATTGACTACATGAATATATCCATGTTGTGATCCAAAAAACTGTATGGAAGTGATTTATCATTTCCTTTGTTCAGGACATTTGACTTTTCAGTCTAAACTGTAATCCTGTAATTTTGTGTTCTGTCCCTTTCCAAGTTTTAATCAGGTCTGATATTTAGTTTTTTGAGAATGGCTAGGTGCTGCCACCTTCTGTGACTGGAGAAATATGTTATTTGTTAATTCTCTCTTCTCAAGCAGCTGTAAGAATTTAAAAAATGGGATTCCACTTTGCACAACTTTGCTTTTATTTGTGTTGGTACTCTCCAATTTGTTAGAACCATTAAAATCTTATTACTTCAAAAGTATTTTAAACAGTTTAAATTTTGCAGAACAGTGGATTTAGGTTGCAATTCTACAATCAGTAAATATGCTCAGAGATATAATTGTTACTGAAAATGAGTTATAATAAAAAGCTGTGGCTCTTTGACAGTAGAATAGGTTATTGAAATCTACCTTATGACAAGTCAATCATAAAAATCTTGACTGTAAACACACATATATTACCTGCCTTACATCAAAAGGCCTTGAAAACATTCAGATGCTACCTACAAGGTATCAACATAAAGATAATGTTATATGAAGATCATGTCATAATATTATTTTAAAATGTTAAGGTTCTTTTTTTTGATTCCTTCTTAAAACCTGTTACTCTTTGCACTACCTTGACCAATGTAGAATCCCCAAGTGAGACACCAGAATAAATGAAAACCAACTGGCTTAAGGTAAATATTAAAAAATATATTTATATATGTGTGTGTATTATATTCCACAACAATAACAGTTTATTTAAATCACAGATGATAGCAATAGCCTGGTCACATTGTTGTTTATCAGCAACTTGTACTGAGAAGAATGCAACCTCTAACTGTGATAATACAAAGCTATCACAAATAGTGTTCTTCATAAAATGGTCTTATTCTTTTATATTACAAGGTTTTTACTTCGATATACAGGAACAGTTAAGTTGCTACATCTATATAATCTCTTATATCACCCTAAAAGTTTGAAGTTGAGAAATCACATGAGTAAGTCCCATAGCAATATTTCAGCTCTTCCAAATAGGAAAAGCACCCCTCCTGTATGATTCCTTGAGTTAAACAGTTGTCTGAACACCAATTTCAGTTTCTTGTACTTAGTATAGTAGTGCTTTATAAGAAATCTAGAAAACAACCTCTATATACAGCACCTCCAATATTTATCATTCATTGTATAAACAGTTGTAGACATCTTCCCACACAGCAAAAAACTCTTTTACCAGAAAAATGATGCAGATTATACATTAAGATTATGAAGGAAGAAAACCTTATCACGGTTTGTCTTTGATGACCAGGAATGACATAATAAAGATTCCAGTGACTGCACTAATCTTCCTAACTCTGATAAGTAAATCATTTTTAAAAGAGATCAGTAATTCAAGCTGCACATCAATTCTAAAACTACTGACTTGTCCATTATTATTGCTTGCTTACTGAATAGTTGATAACAATGTGTTCCAAGTGTGAGACTATTATCTGTGTCTGCACATTCAATGTTGGCTTATTGTGAACAAGTAACCACTGATGCATTCTACTTGATTGCTCCTGGTTTGCTTCTCTTGCCAGTAGAAATGATTAAGTAACCCTCAGAAAATTCTTCTATGGTTTGTTTAGCCATTCCCACTAACCTTAGGGACAAATGGGAATTGTTAAGCTTGTGTGCAAAATTAATAATTGTTTGCCATTAAAGATGCCATAAATGATTAATAAAATGTTGGATAAATTAAAAATATCGTACCATAAAAGCAGCCAGACTTCTTGGTGGTGACTCCCACTCAAAACAACCATTTATAAAATAGGCAGCATTTATAATGACCATGACGCAATGTTTCATACGCATAAAGTTCCTTAGAAGAAGCTAGAGGTGAGAAACAGAGCATGTGTTAGCTTCTTTTGTGCTGTTGAATATATTCTGACTGTGTTCACATTTTATCCTAAAAGGATACACTATATAAAGTAAAAGTGCTATTATTGAAGAATAAAAAAAGGAACTGTCAATAGGTATCCACAGGTTTATTGGTAATTGCAAAATATAAAAGGCTGTACCATTCCACTGTGCAGCACAATAGAAGAAATTACAATGCTGCTGTACTTTCATTCTGAATATGTAACCGTGGTTCAGGCACTGAGTTTCAAAGATTTACTATATTAATCCAGATTTTTTTAAACAAAATTTTATACTAGCTATATGAAATGATATATGCAGTAATTCTCAGGCAATTTTACTTGTTTTTTCTATTTAAGATATGACAAAACATTACAAGGACAAGAAGAACCATGCATTTCTTTTTTAAAACTGTGATTTATAAAATTTATGAATTTTATTCATAAAATTCACTGGAAAGAACTTATTACTTGTTGCATTTTAAGCATAATACTGTACCTGTTTTTATTTAAAACAAGATTTCTCTAATGAGATATTTTAAATTCAAACTATGTGATAAATTATCTACTCATTGTCTGCAAATGTGCCCACTAATTTCTAAAAATATGGGAGGACTGTACTGAAAGTATTTTGTTTTGTGTATTACAAAGATTATTTGCTTGTTTTATGATTATGTAAATATTATCTGACTGCTGATAAAAAAAATCCTTACTAAAAGTAACTCTGTATTTTAAGTAAGAAGTATACAAACACTATTCAGTTTATGAATCAGTTCTGGAAAAGCAGATTGATTTAGAGCCTATTTAGATACAATAATTGTAATCATAAAAATATAGAATAAATTTGGTTGTAATATTATTTTAGCCAATTCTTTAAGAAAATGAACATTTTAAAATAGTCACTTTTCGTAAGTAAATATTTCAGCTAGTAAAAGTAAACACACATCAGAAAAAAATATGTGTCAGTCTTTGAAGAGTCAAATAAAAGTTTGTTGCCTTAATTAAGATTCTAATAAGCACCACTGCATCAGAACTAGGAGAACAAAAGACTGATAGATTCTCTAATCCACAATAATATGAGAGTTCCTGTAGGTCAAATTAGCCACAAAATGTATGGTAGACTAAGTTTACAGCCACCTGTGCCATAACCTGATACACAGGGGAAAACTGATGACTTTACTGTGGTTCTCATGACACTTTTCTAAAGCTCAATTTTTGCTGGGACTGGTGTGTGTGTGTGTGTGTGTGTGTGTGTGTGTGTGTGTGTGCACGCGCTTACGTGTCCAGATAAACTTTTGTTATAAATCACAAAGTGCTTTAAATACTTATACCCTCCCCCACCCTCCCCAAAAAAACCATCACAAAACATTGCAATTCTAAATCTTTACCTGTTTAGATAGTCTGTTTTCTTCTTCAATATATTTCTGTTCTTTGGGCATTAATGTTTGGATGCTGGCTTTCACCTAAACATCAGAATGTCACGATATTTAGGCACTGAAACATGTATCATTTAGAACAATTATCACAGCATCTCAAAATCTCAAGGCCAAGATTATAAACTAGAAATATGAAGCACAAAAGCTCATGCTTATGTATATATTACAGCAGTAGCAGTGAAGTGATAAAGTGTGACTGTCTCAGGCAGTGGCAGAAGAGTATTCTGCAGCATATATCAAAGTTTAGAGAAAATGAGGAATGACAGAAATTCTCTACAAATCAGGAACAAAAGCTTTCATGAAACCGAACTCTTTAGCAGTACAAAAAAGCCAAAGTTAAGACTTACAGCATTAAAAATCACATCCATTTCAAGATAGATGACCCCCTTTGTTGGCCCTGTCAGCTGCTTGTTTTTCAAAACGTAGGCTTTCTGTTCACCATTTTGAATCTGCAGGAAAAGGACATGACAGCCGTCTGTCTCACAGTCTCTACTGAATACACTCCCTCCATGACCTTTGACCCCCAGCTGCTGAAACTGACAGAGAACCCAAAACAACTGTGGCAATTCTGACAAGTACCTGTTCATTACCAGGACCAAGTCTGTCAGGAAAAATTAACTATCATGGGATTCAACATGGCGGTGAATTGAGTATGTTAAATTTTTTTCAGTATTCCTATTACAGACCTGGGTTGAGAAATGACAGCCTGTACTGATTGTTTCCATGAGCATAAAGAAATTCAGAGCAGATGAGGACGGCAATGATGATAATAATAACAATAATAATATCAACTTACATACAATAATGGAATAACCACTTTGCCTAGGAAGTCCGCACTCCGATCACGATCTTCATCATAAACTGTCACTTCAAGAACTGAGTGGATATCTTTAATATTGCTATAAAGGGTGAGACAGAAAGAGGTGCAAAGTCACTGAACTGATTGCCAACAAAAAGGCATCACTAAGTCCCAGTAAAATCAAATAGTACATGTATTTTTGAAAGTATAAACCTGAAAAAGAGGGCTAAAAGAAGACCAATTTAAATAGGAATACAACTCAGGCATAATACTGAACATTTGGCAATTACATACTTCCCTGCCCTTATTGTGTCTGCGGAATGTCTGCCAGCTGCACTATTTAGAGTGTCCCAGACCTTATTAGGCAAAGATGGGCCGGAAGAACCAATTAGTATAAGTTGTGATCATCTGGCTAAGCATTTCATAGATAAAATCACTTGCATTTGCTCTGAGTTGGAAGCCAGATAGATGGAATCTTTTGAAGTGATAGAGGTATCAACTTGTGGTGTTACCTAGTACATTTCTGAGCTGCGTAAGCTCAAATTAGTAGAGAAAGTTCTCTACAATATTACACATCTGGCTGCCCAAAGCATCTAGAAAGGGAACTGAGAGTTGGACTCTGGCAGTCATCAATTCTTCTTTGAGGGAAGGGACTATCGAGCAGCTTTGAAAGAAGTCCTAGCCTGCCCACGCCTTGAATAATGGTTGTGGAACCAGCAATAGGGAAGAGCTTTTCCTCTAATTTCAACCTGTCCTTTTTGTAAAGGATGTTAATAATGGAACTAAAATTTCAAAGAGTACTGGAAGACCATGGAATGAAAACCGGACTGGTTGTCATGGATCACTTGTGGCAGGACTTAAGAGAAGGGAGAACCATCCTTGTCTTCCTAGATCTCTTGGCAATTTTGAAACTATTGGTCACACTGTCCTTCTAGACCTCCTGCTAGAATTGGCAGTTGGAGGCACTTAAATAATCACTTTTAAGATTATCATGGACGAATGGTTGCTGAAAGTTAACTTGTTTTAAATTAGACACCATTTATCCAGAATGATTTTAATGTCAAAGCTGGGTTTTGGGAAAAGACCATTCTGCATAGCCTCCATATATATGACAAATCCCTAATCCTCTGCTAGTCCTTTCTCAGCCTCTGTTTCCTCTTGGATAGAAAAGAAAAGTTTTTCATCATATAAAGGAAAACTGGAAACATATATTTTCTGACTTTTGAGGATCTTGAAAATAAAAGTTCGCAACATGGTGCATAAGAAGAAAAAGAATCATATTAGGGAAAATCACTTATAAAAATAAATGCTAGGAGTAATAAAAATAAAACATGGAAAAAATTAAGAGTACTTGTGAAGTAAAGCAGAGCCAATTTACCACTGACAAATTGAATGAAATTATCTAATTTTTAGATTCAATTCAATTTTCCATTAACTTTCATTCCCTCTATTCTGAACAGGATTGTAAGAGCAGAAAATCATTTTCATTTGTTTTAGCACTAGAGCAAGGGTGTCAAACGTATGTCGTCATGGTAGTGTCACGTGACGTATTGCAACTTTTTTCCCCTCGCTAAACTGGGCATGGGCGTGGCCAGCATTTGACGCATCCGGACCAGAGGCCGCAAGTTTGACAGCCTTCGCCTAGAGGATGGGGAGGAATTGGCGGGAAGAAAATTTCTATCAATCTCTGTTTATGGTGAGATATCTGGATTCAACATATTGAGAAAATTATATATATAAATTTTATATATTTTTCCCTTTATTTCTTTATCAGTGATATATATATATATATGCATGCATATAATTAAGAATTGTCCTAAAAATGCGAGTTCCAGGTATAGTTATAGAAGAGGCGATAGACATCACGATCTCTGGAACGTTTAAAAGTTTTAAAAGTTTAAAGCTTAAACTTTAAGAAGCTTAGTACAAGTTTTAAAATAAATTTTTTTAAAACTTTTAAAACTTTTAAACATTCCGGAGATCATGATCTCTATCGCCTCTTCTATGCATATAATTGTATATATATAATTGTGGATAGATAGATAGATAGATAGATAGATAGATAGATAGACAGACAGACAGACAGACAGACAGACAGACAGACAGACAGACAGATACACACACAAGCTATATATTAAGGACATAATCATTTTAATAATTTTAATATATTACTGTATTCATGTTATATATTGTATATGTTACATAATACACATATATTAATACATCTGTCTGTCCATAACTAATATTTTATTTAAAACGTGAAGGTGGATTATAATATAATTAAAATCTAAAGTATGTTAAAGTAGTACTAAAATAATGCTCAATCTAAAACTGGGGAAAAGAAGAACAAACCACAAATTAGTGGTGAAGGCTTGCATGAAAAGGAAAATAAAAGATGTAATGGCAGACACTTCACAAATGTTAAGGTAGAACATTTCAGAGTGCAGGCATATTACAGAAAATGTGTAAAATGTCACTCCTGCTTCACACATAATGATCTCCCTTAACAATCTTAAGTTTGAACTGGTTCCACGTTCTACATGAGTAGAATCTGAACTTCGTTTATTAGCTAATAGGCAGCTGATTCAATTGCTTTCACAACATGTAACATGAACATGGCCAAGTGTCTTGCTTAGCAATTTGTTCCCAGCATTTTCCACCAAATGAGATTTTTGGAATAAATGCAAGGGCAGCCCCACACTGACTGCATCATGTACTCCAAATGTAAGGGTTACTATATGCGAATGATTGTAGCTAGGTTGCCATTATCTAGGTGGCTAAGCGCTGTGAGACAGAGCATAACCAGCTAAACCTATTTTACTTTTATTGAAAAGTTACATGAACAGAATTTTGCAAACCTAAGAGTACATGTCTAATCATAAGCAGATATTCACTGTAGCACTATAGCACTTCTCATCATGTTCAGACTATCTCTCAACCTGACTGATTAAATGATCAGTCAGGTTGAGAGTCAGGTTGAGATAGCACTGATGCTATCCATCCATTAACAGATTGAAATAAAGCCATGAGAGGCCCTGAAGTTGGCAAGCACTTTGCCCCCATTCTCCCAAAAAAGTTTGGTATTAATGATGGACTTGTAGGACTAGAAAGAAGATCATATAATGTTCTTATCCTAACCTTTGGGGTTTTTTGGCTTCAACAAGAACAAATAAATAAATAAAAATAAAGCTGCTAATCAGAAATATTCAGTGGATTATTAAACTGTAAAGAACATGAAACAGATCTGTTTTTCTTGTAATACAATTAGGAGAAATTACAATAATAGACCTTTCATTCTTCAAATTCAAAAAATCAAATATTTCCATTGGTAAACTTGTAAGATCTGCTCCAATTCTCTATAAACTAAAAAAAAAGTACTGAGCACAAAAGAACTTATCTACCAAATCATTTCCAATACATCAACTTTTTTTATATTAAAATATTACAAAGCCTTTTTACATTCCTTCCTATAGCTAACTCACTTTTATTAAATGAAGAATCATAATAACTGGTTAGAAAGTACTCTGCCATGAATGTCCAATTCAGCAAATTATTCAGCCTCGTATTTTGACATCTCTGATTTATCTCTAAGCTTTAGCTGTTCTTTATAACAGGAATGGGCATGTCTTAGGTGTTAAAGTTTCTTAGCCTCCTGACCTTTAAAGGGGCTGCAGAAGAGTGCTTGGTGGTATCACTTGAAAGGTATTTTTGGGGAGATGGTTTAGAGTTGGATTAGGAAAAGCTTTGGTTTCCTAAATTGCTTAGGAAAGTTTAGCCAAGCAACTTCTGATAAATTGCTCTAAGTAATGTACTGAATTTCAGAGGGTGTGGGGTATTGGGGGTACACAAATTGTTATTCTAAAGTGCTGACCATGATTGATCTATGTGCTATGCTAATCCCAAATCCATTCCTAACAAAAAAGCAATACAAAGAAACATAGCACCTCTTTTGTTTATTTATTATAGCTTGTTTGCTGCTCAGTTCCAAATGGCTCTGAGCTACTTACATCAAGTAACAAAAACATTAAAATAGAATAACCACAATCAAAGCAACACTATCCCATAATAGTATCACCCAGTGAGAGCATGTCAATCCTCACTGTTACCAAAGTCTTTCTGGGACAGCCATGCCTTTCAAGCTCTTTGGAAGCCCCCAAAACAGGGGTTGGTTCAGATACCTAGAGGCAAGCTCCTATGATTTTTAGATTCTAGATTTTAAAATCCTAAATAAGTAAACAGAAATAAGAATATCACACTTACTATCAACTCCCAGATTCAGTCTTTGATATCACCAAGAATTATGGTAATTTTGAATAATCACTAAATGAACTGTTGTAAGACTACCTGTATGATGTAAGGTTTTTTTTAAAAAAAAAATTAAGTTCCAATGTACGAGATCCCTCTTCCAGCATTTTAACAGCAACACATTTGGTTACATTTGCCAGATTAAGTTTTAAAATGTTTTGAAGCTATCATATGAAGTTCACAGCATATTGAAGATCACCAATAAAAATAAATTACCAAAAGACAAAAAACATTTGTTTATAGAAATTTCACTATCTTATCTGTTTATTCCAAAGACATTTATTTGCTGTACTTAAGAAATTAGTTTTGATAATTTTGAAAGCCACAATCAAACTTGGAAATGAAATTTTAAGAAGTATGGTAAAACTTACAAAGTGAAGATTTTGTTCCACTCGGGATTAAGGTTCTTATATATTGTGTGGGTCAACAATCTATCGTTGTTCAATTCAATTACACAAAATGGATCACTTTTACCTGCAAAAAGATAATTTCAGAGACATTCATGAATTTGCAACTTAAAATTATTTTAGCATTCTATGTAATTAACAATTCATACTCTAAAAACAAAATAATCTTAAATAGGTTATTAGTAATGTTGTGTGGTAAACTATAAAAGTATTGCAATGCAATACTCTAGAATAAAGGCAAAAATGGTGGGGTGTAAACATTAGCTTGTGATTAAACATGCCTTTGCACAGAACTGCATGAGAGATACAGTTATATGATACTGGAAAAAGTATTGCAGACAGCAATTTAAATGCCTTACCACTATTTTGCCTTCCAATTTTAAAGACGAGACAGTCCTGATACTTAGCGCATTTTATTATATATGAAAACGTTAAATACCGGTATATTCTGATGTCTAAAACTTAGAAGGCTACAACTAATAGATTTACAAGTGAGATTTGACATAATGGCTCTTCCACATATTACATAGTTCAGATTTAAACATTTAGGTTTAATTTTAATTTAAGGATAATATACTAGGAAAAACAGCTAACAATCTACCATTTAATTTTTAAAATTTCTTAAAGATTATTCTTTGTCATAAAGGCTACCTAACATTTGCCTTCATTTGTAGCACTATTTAGATTAAAACATATTGTCAAATTTAATATTTCAGAGAGAATCTTGGACATATTGCAAGAAAGTGTGTGATGGCAAAATTTCCCCATTTTGATACATTACAGTTATGTGATAAGACAATAGATTTGACTCAGGCCTGTTCATAATAATCAGTATAATCTTTCAAATAATCTATGACCTGATAAGGTTATTTTATTAAATGAAAATTAACTGCAACAAAATCAGAAGAGAAATGGAATAGCAAATGTTTCCCACTAAACTCTGTTATTAGACTGATATCGCCAAGATAGAACTTAGTGCAAGTATAGCACACTGGGCAACTATTTTTCCTAAAAATATTCTGTAATGAAATATCACAAATTTAGGGCCTCAAACAAATCTCATTAAATGGAAATTTGAAATTTATTTCATACTTTAGACAATCATTATGTAGATAAAGCTATTAATAAATTAATAATTTTCCATACTGCAGCACTGATTTAGATTCCACCACAGGTTAATGTACATATTAACTTTAATGGCATGATATAATTGCTTTAAGTATGTTGAATTTCATAACGTATATTTTTTTCGGGGGATGTTCCTTTTGGAAAGGTGTCTGATGTTTTTTTGGCAAGATTTCATAAGTGATTTCCCATTGCATGTTTCCTAGGGCTGAGACAGTGACTGGCCCAAAGTCACTCAGCTGACTTTGTCTTAAGGCAGGATTAGAACCTACTGGCTTCTAGCCTGTCACCTAGCATTTACATTAAACTGGTTCTCAAAACATAATTTCTTTACATAATTTTGTATGAAGCATAAATCAATTATCTCTCCCCATTTACACTTGTGAGAAAAATCTCTGTGTTGGTTTAAACATACAAGGCATAATTTTCTTCTTGCCTTTATCATAGATTTCCCTTTTTACTATTATTTTTAACTGTACACTATACTTTGAATTAATCCTGATATAAATAATTCTCCAGGATTTATCTTTAAAACACTCTGGATCTTGACTTACATTGAGAATTTACCTCTGGTACTGACACCTTTTGGTTAAAAATTACTTTTTAAAAAAAGCAAGAATGTTTCAAACAAATGTTCATCATCACAAATAGATATTTCCAATTATTAATATACAATTAAAACAAAATCAATACAGCTTACTTCATTACTTTATTTTTAAAAGAAAATAAAATTTAAATTTTGAGGTAGCATTCAATTTGCATGTTTAATAATATTACATTTAATTTGAACTGAAAACTATTTGGACTATCTATGAATAGAAAAGCAAAGTATAAACTTAAATAAAATGCAAAGACCACATTCTGCCACTGAACTATCTAAAGTTTCTGTTTTGCAAGGTATTCCCATATAGTTACATCATATGGTTCCTTTTCCCATCATCCTATTGCAAAATTGGTTGTTAAATTTCCAGACTCCTGAATTCTTTTTAAGCAACAAGATGCAATTCAGCCAATTTGCTCCTTTTTCAAAGTCTACACACCAGATAACATCAACTAGACTGCAAGTGCTGTTATTTCCAGAAGCAACAGTCAGCTATCATCATTTTCCATATCTTTTAAAGAAAAACCATCTAGATATTTCACTAATAAATTTCAACTGGAAATTCCTTAGACTGATATCCAAAAATTTAGTTTCTTAATCTAAACAACTGTTCTTTCGCATAAGCAACTTTTGGAAACTAATACTATATGATCAGACCTTAAGATAACAAGCAAATGCATATAATTTAAATAGATGAATAAATTCAGTAACAATTTTTTTTTAAAAAATACTTGACTGTAGATGTGCTAAAGGGAAAACATTAGTTTCCTTGTTAGTGCTGTCACAGTGGGCTTACATTAGCAACCCTCAAAATCCAAAATATAAACAAATCAATTCAGCTTCCAAATATTACTATTACTATGGTATAATTGACAGATATATGACACATGTTTCAATAAAAAGGCATAAATACAACACAAAGAATACCTGTTTTCCTAGTCATTTTCATGAGAATAATTTCACCTCATCTATGTTTTGGAAACAAGAGAGGAAGGGTTGGGAGTGGGGGGCACTGTTTTACGGTGGTTCTCCTCCTTTCTCTCCGACCGGTCGCAGTCTGTGTTGACAGGGGGGCAGAAGTCGACCCCGAGGCCCTTTGTATGTGGGGTGCTGCAAGGATCGGTCCTCTCGCCCCTTCTGTTCAACATTTATGTGAAGCCGCTGGGCGAGATCATCCGTGGTTTTGGGGTGAAGTACCACCAGTACGCTGATGACACCCAGCTGTACATCTCCACCCCAGACCACACCAATGATGCCCTCGAAGTGATGTCGCGGTGCCTGGAGGCTGTATGGATCTGGATGGGGAGGAACAGACTCAGGCTCAACCCATCCAAGGCTGAGTGGCTGTGGTTTCTGACGTCCCGATATAGTCAGTTGGCGCCATCACTGACTATTGGGGGCGAGTCATTGGCCCCCACGGATGGGGTTTGCAACTTGGGCGTCCTCCTGGACTCATGCTGTCTTTAGAAGAGCATATGACGGCCGTGGCCGGGAGGACTTTTTATCAGGTTCGCCTGATTCACCAGTTGCGTCCCTTTCTGGATCGGGACTCGTTACGCATGGTCACTCACGCCCTTGTCACCTCACGCCTGGACTACTGCAATACTCTCTACATGGGGCTCCCCTTGAGGAGCACCCGGAGGCTCCAACCGGTCCAGAATGCGGCCGCGCGGGTTGTGATGGGAGCGACGTGGTGTTCCCATGTGACCCCCCTCCTGCACGAGCTGCACTGGCTCCCAGTAGTCTTCCGGGTGCGCTTCAAGGTTTTGGTTACCACCTTTAGAGCGCTCCATGGCTCAAGACCAGGGTACTTACGAGACCACCTTCTGCCATCAGTAGCCTCTCACCGACCAATTCGCTCCCATAGAGACAGGCTCCTCAGGGTGCCGTCGGCCAAATGTCAACTGGCAGCCCCCAGGGGGAGAGCCTTCTCTGTGGGGGCACCTGCCATCTGGAACGAGCTCCCCCCGGAGATATGGAGGATCCAAGATTTACGCACTTTCCGCCGCGCCCTGTTATTCCAACAGGCTGGTCTGGCCTAACTCTCCCTTTTAAATTGGGTTTTAAATGTTTTACATAAATTGGATGTTTTTAAATTTGTTTTTGAGCCCAAATTATTTAATCTATTTTTAATAGCTTTTAACTTTTGTATATTATTTGTATTTTTATCTTGGCTGTTCACCGCCCTGAGTCCCCTGGGAGTAGGGCGGTATATAAATATGATAATAAAATAAAATAAAATAAAATAAAAAAATCATAATCCCAACAAATCTAACCATACAACATGATTAATTGGATGAAATTAATTTGCTTCAAACAAACCTAGGTTAGTTTTGCAGCTTATTTGATCAGGCTATAGTTTGAAACAACACCCTCCCTACTCCCTCTATGATTAAGCATGCTGTACAAATAGGGTTTTCATAAATGGTAAGATCTGGCCTACTGTTCACATTCCTTTCATAGGGATCTCAGCCAAAGCCTTTCCCTTCATATATCTGAACAGATTTTGAAAATGTATTTAGTTGGTATGGATTTTTATGAATGGTTTTCCGGCAAATGTGTCTATTATTTTTCCTGATTGGTGTGTTCAAGCATTAGCTAATAAACATTGCTTTTACTGGATATTTTATCTTTCTGGAAGTTGCCTTGAACAATATAGGCAAAATCAACCCTATTATCCCTTAATTTGGGATAAAGTTGGGGTAGCTGGATAGGGCTCAGTGTTTACTGGCTGGATTCCCTGGAAAAAAGGAAGAGTGCATGACTGAGAACTCAGAAGGATCAAGCAGAATTGGAAAGTTTAATCTGATAATTAGCCTGGTTGATCAAAGGAATGGAATTGCACTGGAAAGGACTGACCACAAACAACTGCATGGAGAAGCTTAACCAAGATCCTAGCTTCCTAAGAGGCTCAGGAAAGAAATATTTTCCTGTTTCTCTTCTCCTCTCAAAGCTAAAGGTAAGAAGGGAAAGTACTGCCCAGCGACCTAAAGGAGTTAACATAACAAAGCAGGCACCAATTGGAACTGCTGCAGAATTGCAAAAAGCCCCCTATATATGTGCATATTATTTTATGCATAACACTGTATTTTAGAAATGTAAGCAGAAAGTATTCACTTTATTTGCACTATAAGAATAAAAGTCACTCTAGTTGAGAGAAGTACAGTGGCTCTTTGTGCATGTAGTAATTCCTCTTCCTTTTTCACCTTCTGTCAGAGCTAGAAGCCAAGGACACAATACAGAAAGTATCTATGAGGTCCTAGTAAGATCAGCAGCAGCAATACTGGTTGAATGTGCTGTACTTGAAGACAAGAACATGAGTGATAGATATACAACTGGCT